CGTGGTTTCGGCCGACACGCAGGATGGGCGCATCGCAATGGAGATAGAAGAGCAGCTGCTATAGTAGACGACCACCCCGGGTCGTCCCGATTGACCAGCGCATCCGTGATCGTTCCCCGAGTGAAGGCAAACCGGCTCGCCCGCGATGACCACGACGGCGTCGACGGAGAAGATGGACACGGCGAAAGACCTGCCGAAAAAGAAGCTCATCAACACGAATCTGATATCTCTCAAGTGTCTTCTGTTCATCTTCTTCGGAGGTGAGCACCGTTCCTGCCGTCCGTGAACTCGCCGCGACGTCTTCCGACGACGCAACTCGCGCGCTCACCTCTTCCCTTTTCCTTCTAGGCCTCGGCTGTCTCTTCCCGTTTCTTCCTCTGCATATGACGAAGGTGGGACTAGCCATCGACGACATCCGATTCATATCGATAATCTCGCCGGCGATCGCGACAATCGGACCTCTGATAGCAGGACTGATCGCCGATAGACACGCCAGACGCCAGAGCAAGAATGACAAGTCGTCGACGGGCCGTTACCTTCGCGTGATGATCGCCGTCGTCTGCATCCTTTCGGCGTTTGTCTACTCGCTGATGATGCTGATACCTAGGAAGGATCTGTACGCTCTGTCAGCGGACGAAAAGATCCCCGGCTTGAAGTTCAACTGCGATCGGCACGGAGCGATGGTAATGACTGTAGACGATGTAAAGAAAAGATCGCACAGATTTGAGTAGATATGGACGAACATGAGATCCGACAGAATATCGGAAATAAAACCGGAGATAAAATCAAAAAACGAAATTATTCGGGATATATAGAGCGATTAAGAGATATTTGAGCCTTTCACATTAAAAATTGCACTGCTACCAAGTTTAGTAACGCCACGATTGTCGTGTTCTTTTAACCAATTTCTTTTATATCTTTCTTAAATCAAAGTCCCATTATTTCTCAAATAAATGTTGTTGAATTATGCGAAACCGATGTGTCTCATTTAGGTGCGGCAGGAAAGATGCGAGAATCGCTTTGGTTGCCACCGCTGGACCGACGACGACAGCGGGGTGGGCGCTATGCTACTGGAGAATTGTAACTACGCCTGCTACCCGATAACCGGATCACGACGATGGCACGCGGAACTCGCTGCGGGTACTACGAGCACCGTCAACGCCGACGTGGAGGTCGATTTCGAAGGCAGCGGCTCGATCACGGTTGCACCGCTGGACGCTGAACTCTACGCGCAAGTAAGGCTATAATAAAAGCTTCAATGCGCCATATAAGATAATGCAAATGCAGTTACCTTATTACTTGCCTTACCTTAAGAGATGCGCTATTATCTTATAAGGCCATGTGTCGCGCGCGCGCGCTTACGTGAATTACGATCTCAGCAGGATTACGAAGAGACGAGAAAAACTCGCCGCTACATTATAGCGGAGAACGAGCCGCCGCATCTGTGTTACAAGGACGAGGACGACAACGTCGTCTGTCACGTTTATACGGAATACTCCGGCAGCCTGCCGGTGAATGGTAGCCTCGGGCAGGCATTGAACGCCGAAAATGAAAAGGAATGGTGCGCGTATCCCGTGGCCGAGTACTTTGCTTGTCGCATACCGCCTGAACTGGAAGTCAGGATGGCTGAATTCAATCAGAGTTGCTCGATAGAATGCGACCTGATCGATCCGTACACTCTACCTGGTAACGATCGCCTTTAGAATCCAGATTAATAGCGCGACTGCGTGCGCGAAAGGATCGATTTTCCGAATAATTTCCGTAATGACATCGACAGAAGGGATCTCTCATTCCAGAATGTGTCGAGATGAATATCTCGAAGTGCGCGATCAATAGTCGTTATGTATCAACCTCATCTTCTTCGGGTGGCTTTCACCAAATACTGATTAAGCTAATTGACGATCAACTCAACTGACAGATCGCCAACATGCAAGATAACATATAATTTGTTATTAAAACGTGTGAGAACATTTTCTTACCCTCTTTTGCTGGTAAATCAACGATTATGCTTAATCTGAATTTAGCGAAAGTCAGCTTCAGATTTTGAAGTATATCCGACTACAAGCAAACAATTCCCCTTTACATCGAGATAATATCGCATTTCAGGCAGTGTGCTGGCGGAAAGCCAGTGTCAACAGACCGGAGATTGGGCGGTAACGTCATGCCATAGTCAACGTAGCGCTTGCACACCGTGCGTCTGGATATACCTGGCGGTGCGATCGTTTGCGGATATCTTCCCCACGACCGCCGTCGCCCTGATCGACGCGGCGGTGGTGATAGCAACCAGAGAGACGTCGTGCGGCCGTGGTGACGTCGGCCGGCAATTGGCTTTTGGCTCTCTTGGTTTTGCCCTGCTAGGACCCTTGGCTGGTTATCTAAGCACCCTGACGAACGACATCGGACCTGCCTATTGGCTGCCTTTCGTTCTACACGCTGTACTGATGATCCTCGCGGCCGTCGTCGCTCTGTCAGCGAATGACATGCCGCTCAGTCCGCCTGAATGGTGGTGGCACACGAGAAGCGGCATGCTGGCATTGCCGATGAGCGCTATTAAGAGATATGGCAGCGAAACCGCCGCCTTGTTTCTCGTGCTGTTAGTCTTGGGGACGTTCTGGAGCGCGATGGACAGTTACCTACCCTTGTAAGAGTCCTGGTTTCGAAAGATTCCCATTGCTCATATACCAATCATTCAATCGTTCATCATTGTGATAAACATTCGTTTGAGATGCTCTTTTTCTCAAACGCAGGCATTTGCAAAGGCTAGGAGGCGATGAGCTGTCCATCGGTGTCGCTATGACAGTCGGAGCGATACCGGCATTCCTGTTCCTCTGGAAGTCCGAGCATTTCGTGGACTATTGTGGTCACAGTAATCTTCTCATCACTGCCTTCACGGTGTATATAATTAGGTAGGTAAGTTTGTCTCCTATTCCGATAGCACGACAATCGTCGAGGGAAGATATTGTTAGATTTTTTTTCTTTCCTTTTCTTTACTCGTGTCTAAAGAATACACCGATCGATACGATGTCGACGAATTTTTACTCAGGTTCACCGGACTGAGTCTCGTAGCGGGGCCTTGGTGGTCTCTAATTTCGGAGGCTCTAGAAGTATTCACCTTAGGAATAATGTGGGTTACTGCCATTCTTTACCTGCGACACTTGGTACCGCGTCATTTAACGGTGACTGCCCAAGGGCTACCTGTGATAGCTCACTTCGGTTTCGGTACGCCAGCAATTAACGTCACAACTAAACGCGATCGGTAATCGGAACTACTGATTTCTACTCTATATCCAACTCTGTACAGGTCGAAGCATCGGAGCCGCCATCGGTGCTTATGTCAATCTCGGCGACGGGGACATCGTGAGCTCGCTTAGATTTGTATATCGTTGCATGGCGGTAGCAGCGGCCGTTGTTGCCGTTCTGTATTTCATATTGTATCACGGTCTATTGAAGCCAAGATGTCATGCACATACCATCCAAGGCCCCCGTCAACCTCCCACGATCGTGCAAGGTAAGCGACTTTTAATTACGCATACTAATTGAATTTTGCAAGAACGTTCTGTCTCTCTTACATCATGACTCTGACTTTACAAGCTGCTATAAGAGATTACGAATTGAGTAAGTGATCAAATACGATCGAGATTCTCTGCTTCACGTTCTTCGGAACATGTATACTTTGTGTACTGTCTAACAGCGTGTCCACTCGCATCTAATGCGGAGATCTTTAGAACCGTCTCCTCTGATTCTGACGATGATCGAAATCCATCACAATCGGAGAAATGTCGATTCTGTAGATTTTCCCGTACAACATTTTCTCTTCCTCTGCATGCATCATGGGGAAAACTATATCTGTCGCTGTTGTTTCCAAAAATGCGCGGCTGTTTTTCTAATTTTCATCGTCTTCATAATTTTCTTTTTTTTTTTTATAATTCCACGAATATAGCAATGAACGGAAATGGAAATTATACGCCGCTAAGGGTGTACCATAACGGAATGGGCAGGAAAGGTCAATTTCGATACTGAGACGTTATTCATAAGGATAAACTGAGGAGTCCTCAGAACGCTGCAATAATGATTCTGCAGTGCAACGTATATGAGGTGTCATCAGCGACGAACTGCCGGCGACCTGTGTTCTCGTATGTTTTCATATCGCTTTATATAACTAATTTCTATTTAAGACAACTCGACATTACCATTTTTGTTTCTTAGCACGTTCGCTATCACACACGTGTAACATATGCATCATCGAGGCAAATTTATCCGCTATGTCACGTGTTGACTCGGCAGCGAACGTGATAATGCGTTATTATTTATGTAAATTATGAAGGACCACTACTTGCTCAAGTACGTTGTACGAGCTACACCATCAGTTTCTATATCATCAGTATCGATAAAAAAAATATGTCACACGAAATCATTACGTACGGACGATAGCGAGTTACATTGCGCAAAAGTAAAACGTATTCGCGTCGTAGTAGAGGAAGAAAAAAATAAATTATGTTTTCCATGTACAAATGTCCATGATCTTATCTTATGCTTTTTTAGTTTTCTATTGAGTTAATTCTTTTTTTTTCTTTTTATGTACAAATCGTTAATTACGAATTCTCACAAGGATACGATTAGATAAATGACTTTCTATGATAAAACCATTTACAGTGAGACTTACATGCGTCTTCATGTGTAACATAAGTCAAATAGATATCAATATATGCTGAAAGTAAGATGTTTACTCGATCAGGCGAATGTTACGTTTCTGTGAGTTGATATATGTATACGATAAAAGATGGAATAAAAGTACGTTGGAGAGAAATCATTGTAATCGTGTTATTTTACAAAAAAACAACTGCGCTCATTAGTGATTTATATTAAATTTATTCGGACAGCTCAATGGATCCTCGAATGAGATTGAAACATTTACAGCCTGACATTTAGAGGAAACGAGTTCAACGGCCTGCTTTAAAACTTATGTTATGTAAATAATATTAAATCTAATGTTACTTAGCCTGTCAAAAATCAATTTACTTTTTTAGTATGATATCCTTCTTTCCAAAACTTACATACTCGTTCCATACACATAGACACGCATACACATACAAACAATTCGTGACATATGCAGTACGTATATTAGAAATAATATATCTTATATTAGCACTTATATTTATAACATGTATATATGCATATATAAATGCATCATTTGAATAATCGTTGCATATAATCTATCATGACAATATAGAAGTCTAAACACTTGGTTGTGTGTGTGTACATATATACGGAATATCATGTTTTTATATACAAATTTATATCATTATTACATAATATTTTATATACAGAGTGTTTCAAATTCACTTTTTACCCACAATTTTTTTATTAGCAATTTGGAGTCTAAATATTTCCTAAATAAAGACGAGATCGAGTATTCTTTAGTTATGAGTGTTAAAAATTGGGTTTTTCAGAAACAAAGTTTTAGAAATGTAAATAGAAAGTAATTCTGTTTTTTATTTAATTTAGGGATTTTATTTTATTTAGGGATGGATTCTAAATTTTATTAGACTCATGATTTGAATACTGGTTACATATATAATATACATATATAACCGATATAATAAATTAATAACTAGAAACAAATGATGAACTTTTTGATATTTCCACTAGGAAAAATTTGATTCTAAATTGGTCGAAAACTTGTAATGAAAAATGACCGACTTTCGATGGAGATGAAGTAAAAAACTGTTTTTCTTGTGCATAGCAAAAAAGAATCATTTTTGTATCTAATACATATAATTCAATTTTATATATTTTTAGGCCTTTCGCTATTATAAGGAATGGAACAACAGTTAATTGTTTGCTGTATATTGTATTATCTTTATGTCATATGCATATACAACATAAAAATAAATAAATTCAGCATCTGAGTTGTATCAAGAAAATTTATATATTTATATTGAATATAACTATATAATACACACAATAATAATATCACGTAATATATAATTTTTAAATAATATAATCGTAAAAGCTTCTTTAAGAACTTAATTCCCCGTCGTGAATTTAATTATTGTAATTTATGTTAATGAGACCGTCGTTATTGTGAAATTTGAAATATGGAAATATCAAAGGATATATTTTTTATCACTATACTTTACTATATATTTATATATCATACTTAGCTTTTATATGTGATATTTCCATTCTTCAAATATAATTTTGATGTCTAGGCATTTTTGCCTATCCTAGGAAATATTAGTAAATCATTAATAAAACATCCTTTATTAACAAAAGGTCGAAATGGCAAGATTTTTAATATATCTGCCAAGTAAGCGTAACGCATATTAATTAAATGGATAAGAATATAAAATCAATTGTAACGTTGTCCTCTATAAATTCAACTATAATAAATATAGAGTTTATATCAATCAAGAACAAGTATTCAAAAAACTTAGGAAAACTATTGGTCGCTAAATTTCAATAGCGGATACATTTGAAAGAAATTTTTTTTAAGCGCTTGTATTTTAAGCGGATATGTTTGAAAGAAAAAAATTTTTTTTAAGCGTTTTTAACAAAGTTCTTTTTTACTACATTCTTCTTTTTACTACAAGCGACTTAACACTTTTAACACGTTGAGTGGTATATTATTCATATTTAGTTATAATTAATTTAATTCATATTCATATTTATCTTGTCTAACCAGATGCAACTGGCGATATAGTAATCTGACTGTGTATACAACTGTGCATAGCAGCCAGAAAGTTCGAGTCTAGTGAGATTTATACACACTCGAATTTAGCTTGATACTCAATGTGTTAAGAATGTATTTGAAGAAAAAAAGAGAAAAGTCGTCCTACTTTCTTTCGATGATAAATTTTTTTATTTATTACCTCCGAATTGTCAATAATTTTTTCATTTAAAAATGAAACATTAGGAAGATAAAATTATATCATTTACAATGTGCATTATCCTGAATAATTGTCTTCAAGATATATCGAAATATTTTTATAAAATATAAAAATGCCAAGTGATCACATCTTTACAAAGTAAATTAAATCTGCTTTAAACGATCTATAATTCGCGATAAAGTTCTGGACAAATTTTTACTCAGGAAATTTAATATGCTATAATATATACTATATAATATATAAATATATATTACATAATACATTAAAGAATCGGTAAAATGTCTTTTTTTATAATAATTAAAGCATGAAGAACAGAAATTATATCAAGAGAGATGTTATATTTCAATATGATAGAATTGAACAGAAAATGGCACTTTTTAAATCTCAATCATTTTAATTAAATATTATATTGAACATAGTATAGTCACTCTCATATGTAATTTGAAATCCAGTAGTACCTCAATAAATTATGAATTCACAAATAAAGACTTTACAATAATAATATTATAAATAAATATTTCGTTGCATATTACTTTCTCTCTCGTACATTATAGATCGTCTGAAACAGACTTTATCTTAAACTACAGCTGTAAATTGAAACACTGAAGTATTTACGTAAAGTTGCACATAATTTAATGAAGTCTTTCATTAACCATCAATAATTGTACAATCCTCCTCGATTTCCATTATAGCTACTTCGGCCTTTACTTTGTCATTAGCATTTTTGCTTGAGTTCACATCATCATTATTTAACGTTGTCGCACCATTCCGAACTTTCTGCAGTTCTATTTGTTGAATCTCTTCGGTAGGTCGTATATTCACAACTCGTATTTTATTATTAGAGTCCAAGTCATTAATCTGCGTAATTTTCTTGCAATCCGTTGTATTCGCTGATTCATTGGCTTCATCGCAAACTACAGAATCAGTGAAACTGTCCGAGCTCCCTTCTTGTTTGCAATTTACCGATTGCTCAACAGATTCAATTAACAAATCGATATTTTGACGAAAATGTAAAGTATGCGAATCTGCGGCTGTCAATTTTTCGAAGGTTTTGTCCGAATCTTCCCATTCTTTCATATCTTCCGTTTTGATGCCATAACCTTCTTGCTGCAAATAAAAGATAAACTGCTCTTGGTATTTGTCAAAGTTCTTATTGGGTATTTTTATAGACTCCAAGACACTTTTGTCCGTCTGCTCATTATGCAGGGTTTTTTTCAACAAAGAGTAACTGATACATTTCTCATAATCCCTCGAAACAACATCGTACACCTGAATCGCTTTGTTCTCAGACGTAATCGCACTATCACCAACACCACGATGCTGTAGATCCTTTTTAAACATTAATAAGTCCTTAAGAATGTTGCTAGATTTAATATCATCAGATGATTCCATAATCCAACATTCCGATTCCTCGTAATCAGATTCAGTATCAGATTCATTGATGCAAGTCATATGTAGAGGAATATCTACATCTGCTTGCAGCACCACTGTACTTTGATTAGTCGATGACACTTCAGTCTCAGTCTTCTGGGATCTTTTCCATTTATTATATTCACGTATTACTCTATCGTTAATGTGCGCCAACTGAAAAATTGTATCGTGCATACTTCGGTGGAACCGTTTGATTTTCTGCTCCATCATTGATTTGATATTCTCAGTTCCAACTGTCTCGTTATCGGGTAAAATAAAGAAATTTTGCATATTCTCTTTTACATTGCCCAAAAAAGTGTCGAGCTCTTGACTATGTGTTAGCATCACTTTGCTGAATGTGGAAGGCTGTTTCTTGAGAGATGTATACATCTCTCTCAGAGGTTGGTCTTCTTTTATCTCAATGTCATTTTCTGTACTAAAAAGAGCAACAGGTATTATCTTGTTGAAAGAAACATCTATTATATCCGCAAAATTTTTCCTGTTGTCGGTCGTCATATTATCATGCTGCTCGACGATTTTCAGCTCATCGTCGGAATCGCTATCAATTTCGATTATATTAGGAGTCAATGTTACTGCATCTGATGCTTTTGCTTTTGGAAGAATAAACCGAGATGAGTAACGATTGTTCGATAGAGATACCATTGCATTCGTTGAATTTCGAAGAGATTGAGACTGAGCCTGATAGTTTTGCACTTGCGATGCTGGTGGCGATGGCAGAATGATATGATGAAACGCGGAGTTCATCGGTCGAACGTAAGTGGTAGATGCTGAGGTTTGATTTATGATGGCCGTATGATACAAGGAAGGTGATATTACACCGGAATCGTATCGCATTGATGCGGCAGAATCAATCATATTTATCGCATTCGGCGGTGGAATAATGATTTTTTCCGGTTGTTCGACTGCTGCTTCTTGACATCCAGCCTTATTCGGTTGCTCGTACTGTGAATAAACTGTCTGTGGCTCATTCGGCTGATTGCTCAATAATGGAGGCGGACGTGGTCTAATAGGGATTGGCGGATATATCGTGCGCACTGGTTTCGTCCCATTTGTTGTGCTATACCTCGGTTTATTTTTCTTGTATGGTTTACGTTTCACAGTTATTGGTATTCCGTTAATTTTAGGAATATATGTTTCATCTTCTTCCTCAGAATTAGACTCGAGTCTTCGTTTTTGTCTGCGTTTACTCCTGCGTGGACAACATTCAGATTCATCCAAATTCATTTTCTCCTGAATCTCTTCTGAGCTCATATTTTTCTCCTTTTCTAGTATACTAAAACATATCACAACCAATTCAAATTAAATACATATATACATATAATTACAGGAAAATGTCTAAAAATTAAAAAAATACATAACATCTTAACAATGTCTTATTTTTCTAGCAGTTTTGTCCTTGAATGGACAATAAAGTGACATAATATACTAGGGTTATATGATAAGTCTGGTAAAAAAGCAAGTGAAACATTTTTTTTAAAGAAAATACATTTTTACTTTTCAACATAGTCTCCATTAAGGTCGATACATTTGGTCCAGCGAGTTTCCAATGTTTTAATACTATTAGAAAAATTGGCTGTCTGAAAATTTGCAAAATATTTATTGATGGCAGTGATGACTTTTTCATTCGACAAATATTTCTTCCTACTGAGCAAGATTTTCAAACTTGGGAACAAAAAGAAGTCACACGGGGCCAAATCTGGTGAATAGGGTGGATGAGGAACCAATTCAAAACCCAATTCGTGTAATTTTGCCATTGCGACGGTCGATTCGTGAAACGACGTGTCATCTTGATGGAAGAGCACCTTTTCGCACATTAACCCTGGCCGTTTGTTTTTTAGTTCTTCTTTCAAACGGTTCAATAATTTTGCATAGTACTCTCCTGTTATTGTCTTACCCTTTTGTAAACAATCAATCAGGATAATTCCTTGGGAATCCCAAAAAATAGTGACCATCACCTTTTCAGCTGACAAAAGAGTCTTCTTTGGCGCACTTTTACCAAGCATTTTTTTGGCATTTTGCTTTGACTGCTCCTTCGACTTAGAAGTGTAGTAATAAATCCAAATTTCGCCCACAGTCACGTATCGACGCCAAAAATACGGATCGCACTCAAGCATCGTTAAACACTGCCTTGAAATGTTCTTTCGTATGAATTTTTCATCGATAGTCAACAATCGCGGCACCCATTGTGTACACAATTTTTTCATATGCAATTTTTCATATAGGATGTTATACACTCGTTCTGTCGAGATGCCTACGGCCTGAGCGATCTCACGCAATTTCACTCGACGATCTTCCCTGATCATATCATACATTTTTTCTACCATATTCGACGTGGTAACCTCAACTGAGCGCGTTTTAATGCAGGATCGGCCACGTTTAAATTCTTTTATCCAGAAATATATGGTCTTCAACGTAGGAGCAGAGTCCCTATGAATTTCATCTAACTTGGCTTTGATCTTTGCTGCTGTCCACTTTTTTAAATAAAAGTATTTTATCATTTCACGGATATCGTTTCTTTCCATTTTTGTGGCAACCGTAACCGCTACACCACTCGCTTCAAACGACTACCGCACGTGAACAACACGTTACTTCTAACTGAAATTCGGCCTTAAGGGTTATGAAGAGTGGAATTTTTCAGGTCACTAAATGGATTGTAGCGCCATCTCATAAAAATTTACCAAACTTATCAAACGACCCTTCCAAATTCTTAAAATTCTCCTTTATCTTTATGTCATTTTTGTCATTAAATGGACAATAAATAATATGGCGTTGAGTAGATATAAATAATATAATAAAAATAATATAATAAAAATAATTAAATTTCTAATACCTTGTTACTGTTTGTACATGTTGAAGCAGAGCCCAACACACAGCCCTCGCATCATATAAATCAGTCGGGTTGCATACAAAGCATTGCCATTTTTCATCAGCTTCAATTTTCTTCCTTATCAAAGATGCAAAGTTTCTCCTTATACATTTATAACAAAATGTATTACTACAATAAGAGCAGCAATATAAATTACCACCATTTGCACACCATCTACAGAACATATCTGTAGCATCATCTCCTGAAAATATAACAGAGAAACATGAAATATAAACATTTATTCCAATAGATATACTTTATAAAAAAACATAATTAATTATTCACCTTGCTCAAAGGTTCCATCTCCATAAAACTCACGACATCTCGCACATAACAATGTACGAAGTACAGGATGTACCAACATGTTATGAGCCTGAGATGGAGCAGAACCAATATGTATATCACAAGCTGTACAATGGAGCTTGCGGTATCGTACAGATGCTATATCTACAATATATAAGAACCAAATGCTCACATGATACAATAATTTTCATAAAATTTGCAAGTATTGATCTCTTATGATATCGCAAATTTATATACAGTACAGTACATAAGAATAATATATAAAGGGCATCAGATCAAACTGTAAGCTATACGTTATAAGTAACGAGTATATTCAAGAAGCTGACCATTGCCAAATGTTATTCGATAATAGTCTGCTTCCTCCTGAGAGACCGGTACAGGTTCTATTGTGGTACTGGACGTTTGATCCCTTGGTGTCACTAAAATGATAAGACAGGTAGTTAGGTTAGAATGTGTGCATTTAATTATCCAGGTGCGAGAGATGCGTTCCGCGTTATCTTTCGCGAAGACGTTGGGCTTACCGTTCTCTTTGATGTCCACCTCTACTTTCACTTCCTTCACTTGTACTTCCAACATACTTGAGATATCCATGACTGTATTTTGTTGCTCAAGCCGAATAGTATATGATTGTCGGCAGAAGCGATCGTTTCAAAACAACATGACTTACTATGCCGCCATTTCCAACGTTACGGAAGTACTTTAATGCAGTATACTATTAAAGGATCACATTTAAGAGACAGTACAGGGCATCAATAATACCATTAATCCAACAGGATAGGAATTCGAATAGACTAGTTCATTCAAAGTGGGATTGTGACAGAGATAGAAAAAAGGGTGAGGGAAGGGAAAGAGAGGGAGAGGGAGAGAGAGAGGGAGAGAGAGAGAGAGAGTAATTGAGAAAGAGGGAGAGAAAGAAAAGAAAGAAGAGAGAGAGAGAGAGATTTAAAAAAATCTTCAAACTATTTATGAGGACTTCCCGTCATCATTCATCAACTGCATAATTATATTCATAAAATTTAATTCCAGATTAGATAATTTCGTAGGTTTGTTTTTCTGTTGCTGAATTACTGTGTAAAGTCCTAAATAAGCTGCGTTCCGAAATTCACTGCCAGTACTGAAAATACATAGTTAGTGTCACATATACTATAGAATTTCAGTGCTGGCAGTGAATATCGGGACGCAGCCATAGTAGCAGCAGAGAGTAACCTGAGAGCGGCCAATACGACATTTTCTGCGACACCGACTTTCCGCACTGGGAAAGGACGCCATCTGCATCCATTTTGAGAGGGGAACTACGATAGTACATTGGTACTTTCAGGTCTCGGTGGTAAAATCTGCATATGGTGGAAGTCCATGCTACATCCACTTTCAGGCGGTTTATGTCCGTGCTGCAATGACAGTTGCCATCTCTATGCCAGACTATGGCCGGTGGTCTAAAAAGAGCGGGGGAGAGGGAGGGAGGAGCAGAAAAAATAAAAGTACGTATTAAATGTTAAATCTTCGAATATATATTGCCGTATCAAAGTCTCTTCTATAATAAACAATTTGACATGTATGGAGACGCATAATGTATCGTTGTCCGCGTCCCGTTCACTTCGTCTTGTTTTTTAATTCAGCATCCCGTCCGCTCCTGACATTCGCTCGTGGCACTGATAGTGGCCGTCGGTGAGCATTCGATCCGCTCGGAGGAGCACGTGTTATTCACTTAACTAACGTGACGAGACTCCGATTATAAATATCCCGCGAATCGACGAAATATTTGAACTTTTCAAAAAAGCATCAAAGAAAATCACGTTAAAGTTGTCATGGGTAAAATCTCACCCCGGTATATATTTTCTTATTTTCGAAATAAAAAAAGCCAAACGAATGCAATTAAATGTTATTTATCATCATTGAATATTAAATGAAAAGTAGAAGAGTTATTGTCCGCAGCGGATAATCTCCCTGTATAAAATGTCGAACTGAAACATATTAAAAAGTATTGACATTTTGAATACGTCTGAATTCTGCTTTCTGATCCGAAGAAAGGGAAAATAAAAAGTATTAGTTCTCATTAAATTTCACCGCGCTAAATGCGAGATGGCAGTAGTGAATGCTTCGCATTAACAAGGATTCAATTCGTTTCAAATATGCCTTGTATTCAATCGCAATCGATAATTTTTAAATGCGAACTTTCGTATTGAAAAATATTCACTTCTTCTCCTAATCGTTTTCAGATTCAGAGGCATACAAGATTTTCACGTTCTATTCCCCGTCGCATTAAAAAATATTCACCCGCGATCCAATCTGAGAGCAGAATTCACGACAAAATCTCGTGAATGCGAAACAATACTTTTAAATACGACATTTTATACAGGACTAATATTTAATAAGAGCGCGACTAAATTCGCATAGGATGAAATTCCATTCTTTAACGCTACCATGACCTTTAATTATTCTCTGAAAACGGCGTCACAACAACTTACACTCTGTACAATTAGTTGCTAACACATTTTCTAATCGTATACATTCCTCTTTAATTATCATAAAGCTAACAAATGTCCGATGCTTCGACAGAGTAATTTTCTTTATTTTCAGTAATCAATAAATAGAGTGCATCAATGTCGCGTACAGTTGAAAGGCCTCCTCGCATTCCCCTCGTCGTTCCGGAACCTTTGAGAAAAGAAGAGACGCCCAAGGGCAAGTCTCTCTTACTTCAACCGCCGCCGAGGCCCGCAATGTTTACATCGCATCGATTGTGTTGATCGACTCGCGAGCGACGACACTTTTTGTCCTTCGCATTAATACTCGCGCGCCTCGCGTACTCGACTTCATTCCATCAGCAGCAGCTGTGCGCGACGCGCTCGTCACTTCCGTGTAATTGAAAGAAATGTATCTCGTCGGTCCTCGAGATAATCGGCATTGTGTCGGCATCGCGTTGATTAACCGCACAGTCGAATCGTGAGTATCGGCATTGCATGAGAGCGTGAGAGCGAGTGAAATCCGAAGGACTCCAGCAGCCGGGAAGCAGGATGTCGGCAGCGATACGTCACGTTTCCAGGTACGTGAAATCATTTATTATGCGGGAGATCTCCGATAACGAGAGCGGACGTTTGATGAATTTTCCGGGAATAAGAAGTCGGAATTTCGCGCTCGGCATTCACGATCCGATTAGTAATCATGACTTAATGAATCTGCAATTATTCTCGTCAATCTCTGTCTATCTATTTATTGCGTTGTTTTATACAAGAGATATTGATCCAGACAGAGATTGATAACAGTCCATGAACGCGGATCTCTAATTCATCATGTTTTCAATCAAATATTCTGGATAATTCCCAAATGTGTGAGTATTGTGTAGGATATTCAACAACGTCTTATATCGCTTGTTAGACTGTGACCTTTTTTGTTTTCGGTCAGCGCTTCTTTCAAGTCTGTTTCATCTCGTTACGGGATCTAAATTTAAATGTCCATTCGTGAAAGAGTATTTTCGAGACCACACAACTGTTGTCTCCGTCACTTCCGTTGTTCTTGTTGTCATTTTTTTTTCATCAACTCTTTCAAGAACTCCAAGTTCTATCTAGACTTTCAATGTCAATGAAGAAAAAAAAACCCGTAGCGAATATTCTCCATTCATCCTGACCAAACATTCTTTCTCTACCGCAGCTTACCAACTAGGAACGCTAAATTTTTGTTCCAGACGTTGCGGAAAGCAAGTCCGGACGCGGACGCGGACGCGGATGCCCCACCGGAAGATCTGGTTCGGGCAGAGCAGGGTCGGCCGAAAGGTACAGTTTACAAGTTTCTTACACATCTGTGTTCAACCCTTTACAATCTTTGCCTTTGCAACTTGTTCCTCATCAGCTCTCTTGAAAGCTTCATGTCTCATTTAAATTTTCAATGTTGGAACAAAAATATAAAGATAAAAATCCCATATCAAAATATTTCCGTATTTTCGATTCGTCTCGGTCAAAGATATTCTCTCTCTAGCGCAGATTATCAACTGGGAAAACTACTTTTCTGTTTCAGTTGTTGCGGAAAGCAACAGCAATCCGGCGGACGCGGATGCCGCACCGGAGGATCAGGTTCGGGCCAAGCAGAGTCGGTCGGAAGGTAAAGTTTACAAGTTTCCTACACATCTGTGTTCAACCCTTTACGATCTTTGCCTTTGCAACTTGTTCCTCATCAGCTCTCTTGAGAGCTTCAAGTTTCATTTAAATTTTCAATGTTGGAACAAAAATATAAAGATAAAAATTTTGTATCAAAATATTTCCGTATTTTCGATTCATCCCGATCAAAGATATTATTCTCTCTCTACCGCAGGTTATTAACCGAGAAAATTATTTTTCTGTTTCAGTTGTTGCGGAAAGCAACAGCAATCCGGCGTACGCGGATGCTGCACCGGAGGATCCGGTTCGGGCCAAGCAGAGTCGGCTTGAAGGTAAGTTTATTATCTCTCTGTCCTCTGTTTGACCCTTGGCGATCTAGAGCTGGGACATAATTTCCGG